TCTGTGGCGGCCCACGCGTGTAGCCTGCTGCCGGCCGGGCTGACCCCGCCTCTCTTCGTGCCCTGTGGTTCTCCGGGTGGTCAACAGCCGTCAGCCTGGGGGGGGGGGGGGGGTCCCCCAACCCGCTCCACGAGGCGGGGGTTTTGGGGGCTTAAATGCTACCCGAAACCCTTCACAGCCATTACGAGGGAATGGAAAGGGTCGGGTTTGCCCCACGTCTCCCGAGACAAAGAGCAACAGGTGCGGGAAACAGCAAAACATGACCTGGGACAAAAGGCCGAGGGAGTTGCGTTGTTGGCGGTTACCAAAAAAAAAAAAATCACTTCAGGGATGTGGTCCAGGCTCTGAGAGCGCTGGAAGGGCTGGGGTGCGCCCGCTGTGAGAGCCAGCAGTGACTTGCAGGAAGGAGATAAACGAAGCGGCTCCGTGATTTACCAGCTACGTTGTGCAACATCTTTCGCCAGAGGTTTCCAAGCAGGCCGGGGCCTGCCTCGGGCCGAGCGCGCACAGGGAAGTAAGCGGAAGAGGCAAAGATAAGAAAAACAATTGTAGAATGGAGGAGATGTGGCCATGAGCGAGATGGCGGAGGCATGAGGGAAGAGCTGAGCTGCGGTCCAGCGTTAGTAAATCCAAGCCTTAAGTGGGTAACCCGCTTGCTTGAGTTGCTCACGAACTAAGTGGCCATTAGTTATTACTACTGAGGAAGGACGTTCCTGCACGCGTGGTTTTCCCTCTGTGTGAATTTAAGGACAAAGCCGTGTAAAACATCTACAGTGAACATTCCCCGCTGCGTTGTGGTGAATTTTCAGTAAGCTGTTATGTTGCTGTGAAAATCTGAATAACATCTACATACCTGTAAATAAGTAGTGTTTTGATCAATACACATATTTTTATGATAACAGGCAAGCTTTTTTTTTCCCCAGTGACAATCTGCAATTCATCTTTATATCAGCAACAGAACAGGCTTATGCATCTTGTAGACTTGCTAGGCTGCAAAAGCGTGTCTAACAATTCAATGTGCTTAAACAGTGAAAGAAAATGGCACACCATGACACAGCTAATAATTCATATTCCATGCAGAACTGGTATTTAAAAAAAAGGGCTAGTACATTGTCCATCTGTGTGTTTATTTTGGTGCTGTTGTCAGAGTAACCATGACACTTTACGCCGACTACTCTCTCTTCTTCTGAATCTTAACAAGATCTGGATGACAGATTACTTCAATAAATCTGCCAATTCTATGATCTGTAAAGAGCTAAGTGTATGTACATGACAGTGTATTTTGGGCATGGAAGAAGTGTTTTATTTGAATTGCAAATGCGTAGCTGCTCACCGGATCAGATTCCCTACCAAATACTAACCCCTCTCCTTGTGTTTCCCAGGAAAGCACAGCAGTTTTTATTCTGTCTGCAGCTGGAAAAAAAACGGGTCAAGGAGAAATACTAGGAGTATAATTTCCTTTAAATAAAAGGAAATTGCTCTCCCAAAAAGTGTGTGTTTGGTCTGATCTCCCCTGCCTTGATGCATGTTTAAAGGTATTATGTAAATGTCTTTTACGTTAAACACATTCCCTGCAGCCCAGCAGGACTGTGCAGGTTAGAAATACCTGCGTTGAGGAGCCCTAACATTAGCTCAGAATGTGGGCATCTCACATTCAGGACATCAATAACAACTTCTTAGGTAACCTTTATTAGCAACTTTAGTCCCTAATTTTTACCATTAGCTTTAATGTGTAACCAAAACTAAAACCAGATGATCTAGTCTCAAATTTCAACACGATGAGAAAAACTAGATTTTATTCATATATGTTATTTCCAGTCCCAGGCAGAAGAAAACTAGGTTATAAAGGCCTTCAGAGCCTGAAGAATGACTTCAAAGCCTAAAGGATCCTCCTTTTTTTTTTTTTCCAGTTTGAAACCTGAAATTCCTTATTTGGAATGAACAATATAGCATCTACCCATAATCAGTGTAAGATACTAAAAATCTACACCATGAATTGCATCCTTTCTATACCACCATAATTACTTCCATCAGAGAAAACAAGAGCAACAACGCTCTCAGAAAAATCTCTTTCCCAACCAAAATATCAACATAAAATAAAATCTGTAACTCAGGCATTCCTGAAGCATTAAGGAACAGAGATGTTTAATATAGGCTTTGAGCACATTAGTTAGACAGTGGAAACTCAAGCTAAATAGCCATTAGCACAGAAAATAAACTGCTTGAATAATACTATACATATATTGAAATCCTTTTCAAAGGGATAATGAAATTATCCTTTCCTTCTCCCTGCCTGTTTTCCACCACATACACACACTTCTAAACACAAATGATTTGACTCACAAGGAAAGACATCCAAAACATCTTCTATTCCAAGGCCGTTCTCCTGACTCTCCCATTGCGTTAAGTGCTACTTTGTTTTTTTCATATTTATCAGCCTCTTGGCTTTTGAGTAAACTTATCCCAACCAATCTGCCTCTTTCTGTTCCTTTCCCTATAACTCCTTATGCAATTAAGTTTGCTCTTCCATTAGCTTAACTTTGAATTACTGTCTAATTCTGTTAATTTTGCATAAAATACCACAAACAGAAAATAGTTGCCTTGTCAGGTAGGCAGATTTGGAAGGGTGACTATCAGCATTAGGTATTTAAGAGAAAATATATTGCACAATTTTTAAAAGACTAAGATTGTAAAAGGGACTAGACTCTGCTCACTAAATGGTTATGTCATACAAAAACCAGTAAAGAGGGGATTTGCGGTTGGTTAATCAATATACAAGCTTCAAAGGAAAGAAGGAATTTTTAATATGTTGTATTAATTTCTAAGAACTAAGAGAGAACACTGACCCAAATACTGAATGTAAATATATTTCTAAGAAATTTAGTGGGCAGTAGAGTAACAGGGCAGAATAAAGCAGGTGACAAGGAAAAGGAAGT